CTCGATAGGTTACACAACGAAAAACAAATGTCACGACACGACTGTTAATGCTGTACAAGTAGATTTACTCTTCCTCTTCCTGTCGACGAAACTATTAATAGAAAGGGGATCAACAGCACTCTAGCATTAAATAAGCACAACTTTTTCCGCCTCAGCGTATTGGTTCGGGATCCGCCATTGGCTGCCCAGGGTGGTTAGGAGGGGGAAGGGATGGTGGGGGCAGGGGCTCAATATGGAGATTCGTGTTTGGCTTGGAGATCAGGCTATTGAATGCTAGTGTTTCCTAAGAAAGAAGATTGTTGCACATGGTTGGATCCAAACAGTTGGGGTAAGTTTGGGATTAGGTTTGATTAGGCGAGGGTCAAGATCGGAGTTGGCATAATTATGTGTTTGGTTTTAGGTATAGGTTGGGCTCAAAAAACGGAGGTGGGAGGGCCTCAATTAGCGAGGAGGGGGTTCTGCAGGTGCAAGGTCGATTGCATGCAGAGAAGTTGGCCGGGCCGAGCGCACGTTTGACTAGTGGATGGGATAGATGAATGGTTGTAATTAAGTTGCCTTTGGGAACGGCTGCAATCTGCAAAATAAGTATACTTTATCGTAAGAGGGCGGCAACTGTACATGCACCTGATAAATTACTACGCTTTCGTTTTTCCATCAAAAATGTAGACTGCATAACCTGACTACAAAGTACTAGCCACCAAATGCGTAGCTCCATTAAATAACACGAAGCGCAAAACAAACACTGATTGAATCACGAATGGCCGGTGTACGTCATTATTCTATCCACCAATCAAAGTTAGTCACCCAACAAGTCGGTGACCACAAGTGAGTGGTCTGTGATTGACAGGTGCCAATCACAATCCACGTGTTGAATGTGTCACCGACAACCATACAATCATTCCACCAATTAGATGCGGCTATTTCAGTGTCAGTGATACAAGTTTCTGGATTTAACGCGTGGCAATGTAACATTGACATCATTTCCCTCTCATAAATATGAAGCGAGTCGGTGATGTGTGATTGACAGGGCGCAGGGGGCCAATCACAAACCGGGCTTGCAAGTTCCTCAGTCACTGCTCGGGAAATCGATGTCAGTATTTAAGTCACAAGCTGCCGGCCCTCTCCTCACAACGACCGCAGCTCATGTCCACGTTCAGACGACAACCCAAGGGAACTGTTTGCAAGATCAAACAAGAATTGCACGGTGAGTGTTTGAAACAATCTTTTACGATAATTCTTCCAACTTTGGGATTGATCTTATTTGATATATGACATTGACAAAAATGTGCTTATAGCCAAAACGGCGAGATATAACTATTTCCGACCATGATGATCCCGTTTCCATACGGTAATTCGATAACATATCGATATTGGTGCTTGAATAATAACCAGGTATTGTGTTGTATATCCAAGACTATATAGCTGAATTAGCTCTTAGTCTGAACAGTTCATGCGGATTATGACCAACATTTTGTGAGGCCAAAGTTTCAGGCAATTAAAGCTTAAGAGCAAATAATCAGGGTTTTATAATATTTCGTTTGTCCGGAATAAGGAATTCCTGTCTGATAATATTTCCGCTGCAACTTCCATCGTGCACTCTCCACACACAGTTATTGTCTAAATACTGACTGCCTAGTTCTTAAGAACTTACTTCTTGAAAACTTAATTCTTGTCGCTACAGATAGCATACTATAAATTCAAGGACATGTTATAGTTTTTATTGCCATTTAGGTTCGCCATTTTTCTAATAAATCTGGCTGCAGGATTTTCAAGAGTTTATTAAATGAAGTCATTGAAAATCACGCACTAACACAATATTTTAGATGAAAGATTAAACTCTTGTTTTGTTAAAAGAAATAAATCTTTCGAAAGCTCGACACTTGACCCATAATTTCAGTATGACCATTCACCCACTTTATTTTCTTGCTAGTTTTCACTGTTTATTGTATCAAACATAAAATCCCGATGCGGTGCGCTCACCTTTTTTTTCCGGCAATCACTCTAACTAATTCAGGATTAAAGGTTGTGAGGAAGTTGACCACGGAAGAACGTATAAAGGAAATCGGGACATCTCAAACATCCTGTCCTATGTTGTGTTATTTAAAATTGGGATAATCTCAATACCCTCTGTGCTTTGTTTTTAAACTGTGTCATTTTACTAGTTCACAGTGCGCCATTCCGGTTTGATCACTATACACGTATAGGCCTATAAGCGTTACTTTTCAGCATTGCGTGATAAAAGTGTCACTGGTCAGAATAGACTAGAGGGCGTACATACGAACGGACCGGACCATGATCACTCTTTATTCAAGTTAAAATTGCTTTATCTAGCTGGATTCATTTTTAGTAATCATGTAAAGCGTTGATGTTCGTACAAATTATTCGGGCCGTCTGTTCTGCTGTCCGACTTCAACGTTTGAAGCACCAGCTTTCAAATGAATTCAGCCATGTTTGCATGCAGGGTTCCAATGAGAATGTCACGTAGATTCTGTACAATATCTTTTAGAAAAAAAGCAATATTTCCAATGTTTAAGGTTTTAAAGATTTTCCTAGACACATTCATGGTTGACAAACAGATGGTGGCTGATGCTAATAGCCAAACAGGTGCGCTGATTTCCCACCACCGGGGAAATAATTCTTTGTTGTAACGACTGTAACTTAACTGCGGTGGTCCACCTGTAATATTTCCGCCACTATACTTCACTGGTATGAGATCGGTTTTCCATATCAATGAAGAAAATAACTCAATAACTCATTTTTATCAATGTGTATTATTTCCCGCCAGCAATCTGCTCATGTGTTGATGATTTCTTTCGTGATAAAATTCAAGAACATTACATCAAGTGAGTAGTTCTTATTGTACATTTTCTCTAAATTTAGTGTTACAATAGCATAGTATTTTGGTGGAAGACTGTGTTTGTTAATGCACCGTTAACGTTGTGGTCACCATTATGAACAGGAAACGTCATTCGATTCAAAACAAGGGTGCGAAAGTGATACTTAAAGAAGTGAGGGATCCCCCTCCCCTACAACCAGCGTCAAACCGTGACAAATGGCCAATCGTTGCTAAAAAAATCCTGTTTGGAGCATACAGATTATTTAAAGACCATCATGTAGGATTTCCGGCTGAATTCGTTCAATTCAAATTCAATTGTGTGCATAAAAACAGTTTGCTAATTCCTAAATCACTCAATGTCGTTCTCAGACATGCAATGTTGTATATGAAGGCTGTCAATTTAGATTTTGCATCTTTCTTTTTAGAAAGGCAGATTACTCGTCATATCGTCACCAGATTCTCCGGAAAAAAATAGTTTCATTTTTGTGTAAGCCTACATACAATTTTCAAACTAAAAAAAAAATTGAAGATTGAAGACTGCGTTAACCGTCAATCGTATTGGCAAAAAGAAATTGGATTGACTTTCAGTATTTTTTTTCCATTATCTTTTTATTTCCACATGGTGATTGCAAAAATTAACTCGTCTTTTTAACTGGTCTTTTTTTTCGTGAGAGGCCGATTTTTGGGCGAGTGCCTAAAAGTTCATTCTTTCTGTCACTCAGTAACACTAAATTGTTACTGATATGCACGTTTTATGATTCCTTCCCTGACATTTAAACAAAAAAAACTTTTCACAACATCATGTCATTTTATACCTTCTTTAACACTGCCACATAATATCTTCATGGGCGGATCCAGAGAGTTTATTACCGGGCGAAGTTTGTGCCGGGAGAATGGGTGAGGGTGGAAGGGCTCTCTCAATCGAAATTTGCCTTTTTGGATACATATTCGGTCACTGCCAAGGGAGGGCGAACCCTCCGCACCCCTAGAGCCGCCACTGATCTGGCTAAACTGCCGAATTTTATTAAACATGAATGTCTTTTGTAAACGTAAGCATGAAGTTGAATTCCCGAGCTGGACTGAAATCCAAAGCAAAATAAATTCAATGCAAATACGTCAATTGCCTACTTTTGTATACGTATAGTGGAGATACCCTTAAATAATTTAATCGTTCGCTAAATTCAACTGGGTTTGAGAATGCTAACGCGTTTGTATGCGAATTTGAAAAAAAGTGTTCACACATGAGCAAGGTGTGAAATTAGACGGAAAAACATATTTAAATTAAGAAAATTTGGTGTTTTAAAAACTCACATAATTATGCTTTCAAAAATGATTCAATGATTTACTAGTGCCTCAAAAATACACAGGTTTTTTTGTATAATTAATTTGAATAAATTGTATAATGAATTTGAATAAAGGCTTTCATAAAAGCGTTTGAATCAATTTAATGTTGATTTCAGGGAGCATTTAAGTTCCTTAGAAAATTATCACAAAGCGTCATTAACACATGTTGCCTTTTCTGGGCGTATTCGGTCACGAAAATACAAATAATCTTTGACCATTGTTTTTATTAGTGAATAATTGTTCCTTGTTTCGAATGATTATTGGTCAAATTGAAACAAAACCCTCAAAATTGTATTAAAATCTTATTCAAGCATAAACGTTACCGGTTTTCTTTTTTTAAAATTATTTTTCAGCCTACAGTGAACTCCTTTTGATCTCTTCTTGGACCTGATCTTCAAGACTTCAAGAGCGAACCATCGAGGTCGGTTTGGAGATGATTATTAATTGACTCTGTCATGACAGTGGAAAGGGCGCGCCATCCCCATAAAAAAATCCTCATATAATTCGGTCTCCTTTCCTAACTTATATCGGTGGGCAAAAATAATGTCAAGCCCTATAATGTGGATTGCCCGCAGTTGCCATGGAAACCGATTAAAAAACCCCACCTTTTCATATAATGTTAGCCCCTTGCCCCCGGATAGGCCACTGTCATCACGCCGAACACATTCTCTGAATAATGATTCCTCCAAAATTATTATTAAAGCATACGTGTTTAAATAACAAACTCTTCGGTGTTTGTAACATCATTATGCCTATTTCTTATTGCTTATTGATTTTGTTTTTAGTTTTACATAAAGGACCTGTATTGTTTTCTTTACAGATGAAGATCTGCGTGGCCACCATTCTGTCAATCGCCATCCTTCTGGGTAACTCTGTCAAGCTCCGAGCTTCCGTTACTGGGCCGGTTCCCTCGGACGGTGATGGTCCTGCGTCTCAGGTGTGTCAGCAGTGCTGTCAGGGACCTGCTGCAATACCCGGCATACCAGGTCTGCCTGGACCAGCAGGACCGATGGGGCCGTACGGCCAGCCGGGGTCAAAGGGCGATGCAGGTCAGCAAGGTGAGATTGGCCCTATTGGGCCTATGGGTGAGAGGGGAGCTCCTGGGAACACTGGGTCTAAAGGTAGTGACGGGCTTGGTCTGCCCGGCAAGATAGGTCCGAGAGGCCCACCGGGTCTAGTTGGAGCAGCCGGTCAGGCTGGTGTCAAAGGTCAGAAGGGTGAGCCAGGGGAGACACCAGACGACTCCAACCAGCAGGTGGCTTTCACCGTGGTGAGGACGAGCCCCTCAGATACCTCTACGAGTCAAGACACCCGTTTGCCCTTCAAGCAGGCCGAGACCCTTCTGCCGGGTACCAGCTTCGATCTCGAGACCGGCACGTTCACATGTAGTGTGCCGGGCACTTACGTATTTACGTTTTCTGTACTGAAGTATAGCAACAGCGGTAGCCTTTACATCCATCTTGTTAAAAATAACTACCATGTGATCACTACCCATGGTAACTCAAATCAACGTGGTCAATTGTCTGGTAGCGCGGTGCTGGTTCTGCAACGAGCAGACACGGTGTATCTTACCATGTACGGTAGGGCGCATAGTGATTCCACCTATCACTACACCTCATTCAGTGGCTTCCTCCTTTTCTCCGAATAAATAAATAATTAACTTAATGAAATTAAATCACAATGCATAAATATACAGGAGCAGTGCTGCTCTTGTTTTGTTTCGCTTTCCATTTTGCCAAAACAGTAACCAATGTATTACAAAAAAAATGTTCAATGTCATGATAATAAGAAAGAGAATTGATTCTTAATACGAAGCATTTTACATTCAAGTATCAAAACTGCATGAAAACAGTTAATTAAAAAGAAGTCAAATATATGACTTTTGAAAAAGAAGGTTTTAGGTGCGATTGAAAACGCTTCAAATTCGTAATTTTTTGCTCTAATGACGTGGAAGTCTGCACGGTCACCGTATGCCTTGCCAGGCTAAGGACGAACTTTAGGAAGGTTAAACTGAACCCCATCTCAGCCTTTAGTGCGAATGTTAAACGCATGAACTGATATTTACTCTGTGAAGTACCGTAGCGCTGCCTCACCATGGCGGATAAGTTTGAAAAGTACCGAAGAATTCATTCCGCACCGTAACCAAGAGCCAACGTAGTTCCTGAAGTATGGGCGTACGACCCTTCATTCTGCATATATGTCTGGTAATCGTATGAAAAAAACATAAAACGTTACAATAGTCTGTCTGGGAAGTAACAAATGCATGTATTAAAAAAATATTGGTTTTTTTTTTTTTCATTTGCATTTGGCACACCGTATACAGCCAGAGATTAAATGAAGTCTGGTGATATCATTTATTTATCCTCAGAAACTTGTTTTCTTGCAAAAACAAGGGTTTCAAATTGCGCCACAGTGAACCAAGAACTGTCAACTTTTGTTAACACTTTATTTTGTATCCCATATTATACATGTGTGACACCGGGAATCGGCGTCGAAAATAGGGAGACTTGGAATACGGCCAGTTCACTTTGACGTTAATTCTTTATTCTGTGAGGGAGTAAAACAGGGTGATGTTACTCGGTCGAATCAGTGTTTGAATGTGGCCAACAATTCTTTAAGTAAACAGTTAAAAATCCAAACCAAATGTACATGTAAGATAAACCTAACAATCTACTCAATTATCCAATCAAATAAATGCAACTTCAATGTAAATAATAAGTCATGGCTTAATCACGAATGAACTGCAATCATTTAAAAAAATGGCGATTCGCGCCAAACGATCGGCGTTGGCTGCCATCTTGCAGCCAAATCATTATTCCAAAAATTACAGTAAATGCCACAAATGTTGACTATAAATTCAAGATAATGAATGTACAAGTGAAAGATATGTTGATAAATAAAAGTAAGAATGCATATCAATGGAGATAATTATAAAGATGAGAATAAAATAAGCAAAGTATAAATTACATGTGAAAGAGTAAAAACAGGGTGATGTTACTCGGTCGAATCAGCGTTTGAATGTGGCGCGGCGGGAAGGTTGCCGGATCTAGTTGAACTATGTTACGGTAGGTGGCGGAGTGATATTTGTTATGTAATCATGTTTAAAGGAACAAATACAGATTAAAGGAACTATTACAGATTAAAGGAACTAATGAAAATTAAGGGGGGGGTATATTCTAACCCGTCACACATGTATAATTGAGTTTTTGTTTCATGTTACAAGTTGAGTTTTAAGAGTTTTCACTCTGATGAGATTGTTTACGATTTAATGTAATTTGAGTTGATAATGTGACACTATATTAGCAGATTACGCAAATATGATTATATAGCATATATTTGATTCTAAGAAACATTTTTTTCCAAGTATACATTTGAGGATGTGCTCTGTTTAACAGCTTAACTAATTTAAGCACAGAAATTAATTATCTGACATGTAATCAGTATTGAATATAAATACTCAAAAACTGTATTTTGAACATTACGTTAATTGAACATTTAACTCGTAATACATTCCATCGAGACAGAGAAATTTTGACCGTTTACTGAAGACAGTCAATAAAATTGTTTGCCGTTAAAATGAACTAGCAAATCCAAATCTGAATCCTCCGAACAAAATAATTTCTTATTAAGTACTTAAATCTGTGATTATAGTTAACAATTCTAATCCCTTTGATTTTAAAAATTATTGCAAATAAAGTCAGTTAATTACCTGTATTTTTGTCCATTTTTGTTTGTTTTGACTTCTAGATTTGGGGATCGTGTTAATGAAAGGCTGGGTTAACATTGGTTGAGGATGGATGGGGTGGAGGATGAATGATTAGTGGTGTCGAGGGGGTTAGGGATTGAAGATGAGGGGCGGGGAGCAAAATATGATGCCGACTGTTACTTCATCAAAAACAATGAATGGCACTAAGACGATGGTGTAGTCTACTTATCCCATTTACCCCACGGATTCTTAAAATGCTAAAACATGTAGACAGAACAAAATGAGAAATGAAAAATGCTGGATGTCAGGCCCATGAATCTTTGCCCCCCTCCCTGCTCTCTCAACACAACCGGAAGCCCACCGACAGTGTTGTTCTGCATCCGCCTGTGAAGGGCAGGGTGTTCAGGTTGGCTTGGGTTTGAAGGGTGATAGAGATAAGGTGGTTGCGTTTCGCAGATTAATGGGAGATGGGTGAGAATGAGAGGGAGAGCATTGGTGAGAGAGGCTGAATAGGGTGAAAGCTGTACGATTTCCTCATACGCTCATCTTACAAACGCCGGGGATGTTAGGGCCAGGGTCATCGCCACGATCATAAGGGGGGGGGGGGTTGGATGTGTGCAGGGGCGGAATTTTTGCAAAGGGGTTCATCGGCAAAACAAATCTGAAGGGAAATAGTCCGAAAGTCCGAATTTCATTACGTCCGAATTCATTTTTTTCTTTTTTTTTAATGAATATTTTTTCTCACGTTTTTAAAATAGTAAATTCCAAAACGTCCACCGTACAACCGTTATACGGATGACGTTTGGGAAAAAAAATCCCGCCCATGCAGGATGGTAAAGGGTGCACACCGGTAAATAGGCCTAAACCCATCCGCCGAGTGCATGAAAAAAAATTAAACCCTCAACATTTCCTATATTAGAGAGTTCTGAGAGCCATTAAATTTCCAATTCTGAGCATTTTGGATGCAATTGGGCTCGAAAGTGGCGCTTTTGTGTCATGTTGTGGAGGGATCGTTTTTGAAGATGGCTTCTGTTCCACTTTGGGAAAAAATAGGGGTCGCCTTCTTTGGGTGAAAATATCTCGAAAAGTCAATGGTAAAAAAAAATGAAATAAAATAACAGATAACATGTTGATTACCTTTTTTTCTGTGCAGCTATACCTGTGAGAGTTCTGAGTATTTTTCCAGGAATTTTGAAGTATGGGCATTTAGCACTGGTGTCTATGGGAATTTTAATACAGGGCTGCACCCCAAGACCTGTAAATAGACTCCCAAAGACATAAGTAATAACTACACGTACATCCCAATTTTTTTCTTTGGTAATACTCAAGACTGTAGATCTCCAACGCATAATTTTTGAAATTGTAATTGAATACATGTAGTATTTCTTAAGTTGTTGCCCCCAAAACGAGTTAATTCTGTATTTCAAAATTTAAATTTCGTCCAGTGATTTGTCATGACTGCGTAACATTATGAGATTTAATATTATGAGGAAACTGTCAAACAATGAAACATTAATACATGTTTGACCGAAACAAATATAGTATCTTAAACGCGATAAATACAAACCGAATGAAAACAGAAAGTCAACGTCCAGGACATTTGACACACTCGTTTTTTTGGGGCCGGGCATTAACCCGAGCCTACCAGGCCCAGATGTTTAAGTTGTAAGTTCGACCAGTGATCGGTCTTGATTTATTACTCATGAGGAGATTCTATTTCGCGAGAAACCGTCAAACAACTAATGAAAGTTTATTTCGAGAAAGGGCGCGCTAAATAAAACTAGTGTTAAGTTTCCATCAATAGAGGGGGCGCGAGCAACTGCCAAGCCCCCATTGGCAAAAACCATAAGCGTAAAAACAATATCTGCGATTGTGTGTTTTCTTGTAGTGTGCCCCCCCCCCCCTAAGCTGGTAATGTGGCCCGAACCCCTCCCTCATGTCCGGAGCTGGCCATGGTGCTGCTCCTCAGACACTCAGGTTAATACTGATTCCCGATAAATTTCTCTCATCCAAACTTCATTTAAGAAAAAAAAAGGCTTGTTTCCGGTGTCATATGAAAATCAGACTCTTGTGAAAACTTATAACACCTTTACCCTAGTATTGGTTGAAATGTCTTACTTTGGTAAACGTATTTACCAAATTGAATTCAATGTACAAGTTAGGCCTACCTAGATTGCACACTTGTTAGGCGGGTAATGAAGATACCCTGAAACATTTTTATATTTTCGCTAAACTCAACCGGGTGCGAAAACGCTTGCCCGTGTTTAAGTGCATCTAAAAGAAAGTTTTGCATTTTTGAATGAGCGAGGGTGAAAAATTGGACTGAAATTTGAATAAAGACTTTGCTGCTTTAGACTTCACATAATTATGTCTTCTACAAACATTAATGTGATTGACTTACTAGTACCCCATTATTGGTCGAACTCTCTCGCATGATTGGTCACTCTACTAATTATCACCACCTAGACACGCACAATACTATATCCATGAGTCTGTATTTCATAGGGTCCTAAATTCACGCTACCCCGGATAAGAGACACGTACCCGGCGGAGACACGCCCGATGCAGTATCACTTATTAATCCTCGGAAGGATTTGTTTTCTTTCTTAAAAAAAACCCAAAACAAACAAAGAAATGATAAGCTATAGAATATAAATTTAAAAAAAAAAGGTTTGAAAACACTAGTTTTTGATGAAAAGTAAATGAAAAGGAAGAGTGAAATCGAATTCTACGGAAAGTAGAATTGCAAAGACATTTTGGATATTTACCCAAAAAAAATAAAGAAATCGTTTGTCGTCGAATTGAACGAGCAAATACCAATCTGGCTCTTAAGAACAAATGTATTATTAAGTACTTAAATCAGTGATTTTTATTAACAATTGTAGTCAATTTGATATTAAACATATTTTTACCAATTCAGTAAATTACTTTGTATTTCTGTAAAGTTATTTTGCTGTTTTGTCGTCTTGAATTTGGGGTTCGTGTTCAAGTCCCGGTACAGATGTGTGTCGAGGGGGTTAGGAGTCTGGAAATGGGAGGGGGCAACAAAACTGATACCAATAGTTATTGATCTTTCAATAATTAAACAAGGGCAGTAAATATTACTAAGACGATGGCGTGGTCCACTCGTTTCATTTCCCCCACGGATTCTTGAAATATAATAATTAATTATTTGGGGGCTAATCATCATTACTCGCAGCTGGGATGCTGAACTGTGAAGGACGCGGCTACAACGTGGTCGGGCCGCTGGCACGTAAAGGCGCCTATGGCTGCCGGCCACATCGACCCATATATGACCACGGAGCACAGCCTGGGATCAAAAGTGTTTGATTTTGCCGGAGGGAGGAAAACCGGAGGGCACGGAGAAAAACCCTCGTGGCACAGGATAGAACCAACGCACAACTCTACTCACACGTGATCCGCGGCCAGGATTCAAACCGTGGTCACCTTGGTGAGAGGCGAGCGCTTTACGCACAAGCCACCCACGCCACCCAAAATGCTATTATAATGTAGTCAGGAAAAATAATGAAGGAAAAATGAAACGCATCCCCACGCCTTTCGATTCTGTAACAGCCAGCTTGCCGGGTATCAGGCCCTTTTACATGCCCCCCTCCCCCTCCCCTCCACTCACAGCCTAATATAACCAGAAGCACATAGACAATTTGGTTCTGTATCCGCCGTTGACGGGCAGGGTGTTTAGGCCGTTTGGGTCTGAAGGTTGTAAGGCATTAATTAGGTGGTTGCGTCCCGCAGACTGATGGGAGATGGGTAAGATGGGGGGGGGGGGGGTGGCGAAGCCTTGGTGAGAAAGGCTGGATATGGTAAAAGTTGAACCCACGTCAGCTTACGGGCAGGTATGTTAGGGGCAGGGTCGTTGCCAAGTGCAGCGGTGAGGTCTGAGTACTCGATTTAGTAAAAAAAAAAAATGGTCTGCGCATTAAACAGGCGGCCAGCTCCTATGCCAGACGGCGTACTACGGACGTCCTGTCCTCTTTGCCCCTGGTTATAGCTGTCCCAACACCCCCCACGTGAATTTTCAAATATCCGATGGCAGATTTATTTCAGTTAAAATGTTAGTGCTGTACGTTCCCATCGTATTCAAAATCATGGTCCCGGCCGGGTGTTGAGATAGATACGATACGCCACTTCAATCTCAGTGGCGTAACCTGGAGAGCTAGAGAGGGCGTGCCTCACCACTCAGCCTGCCTGGGATTCGGGGGAGGCGCTTAACTTATTTGAATGCTTCGTCCAAAAAAAGAGGAGTCTTAAATAAGGTCCCTTTAATGAACCACGGTAATGAGTAATACTTGGCAGCGCAATATCTCTCGAAAATACTAGGTTTGAAAACGACACACCCTAGATATGTAAAAGAATAGGTACTGTTTGGAATTGTGGGAAGTATTGTTCCTCTAGAAATCAGGCACACTCAGGGGCACACTTAGTTATTAGTTTGGA